CGAAAAGGATTCTTCAACGGTACAAGCTCCGTGGCCAAGCGTCTCGAAGACCTCTGGGACTCTATAGGCCTAGGACTGAGGCACTGGGACAACCGTCCGCAATGAAGTCTCGCTGCGTGGTGCTTGTCCTCCGGATCGACCACTTTCTTGATTTCCCATCCTGCCGGCTCGTGACAAGTTATGTAAGTTATGGCCCATGATTTGCAACAAGAAACAGCCAAGCATTGCAAACATGTGCGGGTGTCGAGAAAGACTTACAACACCACAATGAGCCAACAAAAGACCCCATTGCGGCACTGCACATGACTAGTCTCACCGGTCTATGTGTTTCTCCACCCTCTCTTTACTAGAACGCCCCTCCACTGACATCAACATTCATCTTCCTGGCTTGGAGCACTCTTCTGTGCATCTTTGTCATTGAATCACCACTCTTGCCGAGACGCGGAGCCACGAGACTTTCTCCTCCAGGTCTCCCCGGATGGTGCAGAGCTCCTCTCCTGCTAGGTTCCTTCAGGGCACCCGACTGCAATGGCATGCGTTACACGTTAAGCCTCCTCACTGCTTGGATTTCCGGGCGAGTCGTGTGGGAACGTGATCAACGTGGGTGGCCCAAAAGGAAGTTTCCAGTTTCGACTGAACTTCCCAAAATTTGTTTTGGGGAACCCTATAACCGGCTTGATTTTTTACAATTATATGGCAAATAAGAACTCGTCACTATTGCCGTCATTACTGCACCGCTCAGAATAGGCCACAGAGTCAGAGCAGAGCACTTGCCAGTTGATATCTATGCGTCATAGCTGCGCGATGCCACAGTACGTGGAAACCTGACCCTTAATCAGGAGCACTCGTTGCATTACTCGCACGCGTTAATGCAATCAAGGAAGTAAGAAGCAGCTATGGATATCTGAGAAAACCTGTTTAATGTTTCAACATGGTTTCCCGAACCGGTCAGCTACAAACCGACGTCGCACTGATCTCAGAGTCCGACCGGATGCTGCTGCCCTCGCAGCTTCGTGGGGTGGGGGCAAACGCACTGATCCCAACTGACCAACTGCGACCCAAGACGTCCTGCCCGTTACGACGAGAATCTCCTTCTCGCCACTGTGGTCCACCAGAACCTTTCGCAGATGAGAGACAAGTTTACCGTCTGGGCGGAATTCCAGCCTAAGTCGGCCATGTGTGCATGCCGATGGCGCAAGCCGGCTCAGTGACAGTCGACTTCCCTAAAGCAGGAGCAGCAATGCATCTAATTGGTATAATCCACTCTCCAGCGTTCATGTGGCGTAGAGTCAGCGGAAAACACTCAGTCGAGAAATGTTCGACACGGTTCATAGCCTCCAGCGGAAGAATCAAATCCTCGGTGGGCCATAAGTTTCAGCCGCGTAAAAAGCCTGCAAGCTTCAAGAAACTTGTTTGAGCTTGCGCATACTTTAGCAGAAGACTGGATTTGTTGTCTTGCCAACGCCGGAGACCAACTGCACGCATCCAGTCGGCATCCCAATAACAAGATGTTCCAGTTTCGAGGAACCCTTGCGAAGCGAGGAATCTCTCTCAAGCAAAGTTGCCGTCTTCAGCTTGTCCTGTCCCGACAGGAGAACATCTACTCAAGCGGTTCCGGACAACTGCAGTTGCTATAGACATCATTGCAGTCACGCGCAACCAGGCTTACGGTTCTCGATTTGCTGAGGGAATGCAACCCACCAGCCAGCCCGGAACTCTACGACAAACACGTTTCAGTCCTGACAGTCCCGAACCGTTAACCCGGATGATACGTTGTTGATGTCTCCTCGTGCGGTTTTTGTATCGGCGCAGGAATGGCTTTCAACCGCAGGTACACAGACCCATGGCATTTGTGGCAAACAAACAACAGACTCGCACGCACGCACATGCACAGAGAGAAAGACAAAAAGACAGTGCCTTCTTTTGTGTGTGTGTGTGTGTGATTGCATGTGTGTGTGTATACCGTATACCTGACCTGTTCCGCTTCTCGGCGACGTTGCTCTTCCATCTCCTCCAATTGTGCTGCGCTCCAGTAACCTTGGTGCAGTGCAGATCTGATGTTTGAAGCGCCGGGAGTTCCTTGGCACGGGGCCACTTGAGTACAGTACACCCCCGGCTCATCCTGAGCGGCCCCAGCGTCTCGTTTCAATTGGGTTGTCCGTCGTGTTGCGGCTCCACAGCCGCTGAAATATGAAGACGACATCAATGGTGCCAAGTCACTTGGATTGTCGTGGCGCAATGGATCATGTTCCGTTGCAGGGCAGTAGATCAAACTTGGAAGCGGGATTCTGGAACTGGCTCCATAGGCAGAGAAAGTCGGTGTTTCGTTCGCCAAGATACCTCAGGTTCTCGTCCCGAGGCGGCTTGCGGCTAGTGCATGCTAGCACCGCAAAGCAGGGCAGCTCGGGCCCCCTAACAAAGCACAGAGCAGACGAGCCACCCATCACAAGTATGCGCTTGGGCAGGCTGTCAAAGTAGAGACCTCGACGAAAGCAAAAGCATCACTGAACGACACGATCGGCACAGCCTACAATGCAATCATAGGGTTGAAGATGGGACGCCGTAGTGTGCAGCCAGCGCATCATGATCTGGCCGCTGGCTGTCGTTGTAATTCTCGAACATTACCTCTGCACTGCATGGGTATCCAACTTGAAGGCTTAGCGCTAGGGGTTTGGTCCGGTTTGGTCATCTGCTCCATTATGTGGGAGGCCCTGGGTGCGGCAAAAGCTGCTATCCTTCCGCGCTCTGCGGCAATCGTCCCAAGCTCGTCAGGTGCATGGGGAAAACGAATCCCCCCAACCGCATTGAAGTACACTACGACAGAAATAGTCGGCACCACACGCCTGGGCTTCTGTTTTGCGGAACTCTGACAATCCAAATCCAGAAAATCCAGATTGTAGTCCGCCAAATCTTCGAGATTGATGTGGTCGATGTGCGGCGACTGTCCCTCTCCACAAATGTCCGACACTGTGAACTTGTCCCGAGATTGCTCCAAGTTCAAGCCCCAGAAGCCCGCCACTGTCTCAAAGAGCTCGCGTGATTGGTCATCCATTGGGAACTCGATACCTGTCCGAGATCCGACCCAATTGGCAAACAATACTACGAAACCCGCTGCAAAATGCAGCCAAGCGGCTCCTGGATGATATGGCCTTCCCATTCCGCGTTTCTGTCAAGTACGAGCCGCGCTCGCTATAAGCAAACTTGTCGTCGACCGCTTTGAGAAAAGATTCGGAAACTGCACCATCCACGACCCACCTGAGACATGCAAGAAAGCACACAACCTGCAGGTTCAAGCTTCACTATACATAGCGGATCAGTAACAAAAGATTAGCAAGGATCAACCTTGCCCTGTACGGCTCTTTTTGCTTGCTGCACCTAACGCAAATTGCAGCTGATGCTTCTGTTTCTGAACTTCAAAAGCCGTTGTTCATTACAGCATTGCCACATCTCTGGCGGCTCACAAGCCAGCAAAAGTGTTAAGCATACAAGTTTGTTCTTGTTTTGTTTTGTTTCAATCGTGAGCCGCAGTAATTCTGAGTCTTCAGAAATTCCTATACGGTGGATATGCTATCAAGTACAGCATTTTCGCTTGTTCACATGCTGGAGGAGTAGCCCCTCGTCGGGACGAAAAGTAGCGGCAGTAGCAGCTTTGGGAATGCTCGTAGTGCTGTAATAGTCGTCGTCCTACTAACAATGGCAGGAATAGTAGCAGCAGGCAGCAGCAGCAGCAGCAGCAGCATTATTCGTAATTCCAGCAGCAGCCCCAAATGATGCTCTATCTTGCTCTGCCCGCCCCAGGGTTGAGATGTACGACCCCATCGCTATGTACGATTTCTTGCCAGCTTGACCTCGACGTGGCGTGCAAGAAGTGCTACGCTGTACGTTTTGCTTTGTTGCCGGTGACCGCCGGTGTTGCTGGCTCGAAATGAAGCGCGAAAATGTGCAATTTGTTGGCGGTGCCTTGGGCTCGAAGTGGGGTCCAAATGCTAAATGGTATGATTTGTCGCTGGTGTTTTGGACTCGAGATGAGGTCCCGGTCCTAAAATGTACGATGTGTTGGCGGTGTCTTGGGCTCACAGTCTCACAGTGGCCTCCGGGTGGCAAGATGTACGATTTGTTCAGTGCTAAGACGTAGGTTTTGTTGCCGTTGATCCCGGTGATGTTTTGGATGAGTCTTACTATGTCCTTCTGTTTTGTTATTGATTCTTTTCTAGGGCACTTGATCAAAAACCAATACGAGGCGTGCTGTTCGCAGAACTTGGAAAATCAATCACACGTTCTGACGAGGAGCACGCTAGGTTCGCTGACAACGTGCTGAACAGACACGGTCCGGTCCATTGCGAGCTTCACGTCCCACCCACGGAGCCAGAAAGGACTACGGCTCACGAGACAAGCGTGATCCGACACGCCTGAACAAAAGCAGTTGTATGGTGTCTGTTAGTAGCAGGGTGGCAAGCTGGAACTGTACCAGCAACCGGTTTGCTGAGGGCGTTAAGCTGACTTTCATTCCAGGGTGCTTAACATTGACGGTGAGTTGGCGACGCTTTGCGCTGCCGTAAGTAGGACGGTCTTATGGCTTTGGCAGGGTCGCTTGCTAAGCACTGGTATTTCGCGTTCTGATGCGGTACCCAAAGGCTCGACGCATACTTGCTGTGACTTGTGTACTCAAGACCTTGCTAGCAGGTAAGGTTAGTGTGTCGGCAGCCGTGGAAGAACGATGGCTTCTTACTCCCTCCGTACACCACTGATTGCATGCAATCTGTGGGACGCTGCACTGATTTCGGCCAACCTGATTTTGCATGAGCGCGGAAGAGAACACTAATTACTGACACGGACTACAACCCGGCTGTGCGAATTGCGGTAGACCGTGTGGAAGCTTTTGCTGCGGGAGGGCGAGGCGGTCTGTGCCTACCTCGACGACATTTATGTCGTTGCAGTTCCCGTGCGCATCCGGGAACTGCGGGACGCCTGCTAACGAGCACTTCGCAAGCATGCGTGCATTAAGCAAAACCGTGGCAAAACTCGCATCTGGAATGCAGCGGGGGAGGAGCCCGCCCACATCTCCGACATGCGCGTGCCACAGCGAAGAACCCATCTGGATTGGGGATTTGTCTCTGCCACGCGACCGCCAAGGCCTCAAGATGAACTGACTCCAAATTATGTGGGTCGTCTCTCACCAAGAATCCTCCTCGCTGAACGAGACAACTTTGGATCTCGATCTGGTAGAGCTTCTTTGCAACGAAGCGGCTGTCGGAACAAACTTCCACAAGCACCTTCGCCACATGTGCGCAAGTAGCACTGACCTTGACTGTGCCTAGGTGGTTGATGTGTTCCGCAAAGTGCTTGAAAGAACCATTGTGGAATGTGTCAATTGCGGCTTCCATCTCCCCGACACCTCCTCTTTCTCTCATTTCTGCCCCGCCATGGTCAGAGACAGACTGTAGGAAATCTGCAACGGCCTGCTTGCATGCGCTCAAACGATCTCGTTCCTCGTTTTGTTGCCCATCGATTGCACGAAGGATCCGAGGCCCACCACTGCAACAAATCGTGGAGATCATCTGTTCATAGTTCTGACCGCTGATCGCGCTGACGCTTGAGAAAGGCCTGAGGCTTCCGTCCTTATCAATTAAACAATATGTTTTGTCAAGCACTCGTTCCCGTCGCAGCTGCTCAGAAGGTGATGCTGATGCTACATGCGAAGACTGCGCAAACTGCGCAGAATGTGCTGCTGGATGCCAACCCTGCATCTGCTCCCACGGTGCTCCAAACTGCGCAGGATGCCAAGGCTGCACATACTGCATAGCAGGTGCCCAGTAGGGTGGACCAGAATACTGCATCCCAGGTTGTGATGGATGTGCTGCCAATCGCCGAGGCTGCCACTCCATAGCAAGGCTTCAAGTATAGAAAATGAACATGTAAGAAAGCCATGCTGCTGGGTTTCAATTTGCATCTGGATGAAGCTGCGGTTCCGTTGCCGATTCCGTTTCGCGTTCGTGCGTCGGTTTCAGAACCTGAAACACACAATTCACTGCAGCGTCAGCATTGTCTACGAACCTGCAATGAAGTGGAAAACACTCTCTGGGGACACGGAAGGCTTAACGGAAGCGAAATCGACACCGGAACCCCGAATAGAAGCCCGAACCAACTGGAAAACAGAACTGAAGCGAACACGGAAGGCAGCAAACAAGAACGTGCCTTGTTGGTCAAGTAAGCATCATGAAAGAAGCCCTGTATTCCCTACAGTCAGCAAGCACGTAGTGGTACTTGCGTGATCCTATACGACGAGGTACATTCATCACAGACCTACAAAGCGCCTCAATCACGCCGTCTACCGCAAGAAGCCTTTTATCTTCTTTGCACCCCTCAGGCTTGTCACCACCAGCAGATTCCCGAGGTGGTTGTCGTGCAAAAGGCCAAGGAAAGCCATCTTGCCGAGGTCCATGGTGTAGCCAGTCATAAGGACCAGCATCCGAGGTGCTCATTTCCGAAATTACCTCGACAGAATGCAACATGCACGAATGCTCTCCTGAACATGCCTCCGTTTCGGATGTGTTTGTGTGCGCGCTCAGGTAATTTACCAAACATCACAAGCTGTCATCTTGGAACTAACCAGCGAGTACCTCACACATTAACTCTGAAACTGATACAAACTGCTCCACCAGAAATCTCGCTTGCGCATGCGGTTTCTGGAAGTTGTAGAAGCGGCTCAAGAAGGGTATGTCGACCGTTCTGTCACGCGTCTTCTGGGCCAATTTCTTCACCATCTCAAAGTCAGAATCGCCGAGGAACTCCTTAACATGGCTCGGATGCGGGATCACCACTTGCAACTCCGGTCGCACTTCAAGCTCTTCTCCTATGCCTTTGGGATGTGTCTTTGCTTCGACGTCGTGCCATTCTCCATTCTGAATCCGCTTTCGCCATCTCCCTTTGCTTTTGGAACGGTACAGCAGCCCACCGGACCCTACATCCGCGAGCTTTTCTTCACATGTGCAGTCTAAACAGAATGCAACATGAACGAGTGCGCTCCTGAGCATGCAGGCCTCAGCTTCAGGTGTGTTTGTGTGCGCACGCAAGCAATCCAAAACATCACAAGCTGGCATCTTGGAACTAACCAGCACCTCACACATTAACTCTGACGCTGATACAAATTGCTCAACCAGAAATCTCTCTTCTGACGTGCCTTGCGCATGCGGCTTCTGGAAGTTGTAGAAGCGGCTCAGGAAAGGTATCTTGATCATTCCCCAGGTGCATCATCTTTGCGCCTCTCTGCTAACTTCTTCACAATCTCAAAATCGTCTCCGAGGAATGTCTTCACATGCTCCGGATGCGGAATCACCAGCTCCAAGCCTTCTCGCACTTCCAGTCGGCTGGTGTCCTTGGCCTCCACTCTTGATGAGCCAAGATCGGACCATGTTCCATGCAATATCCGTTTTTGCCACCTTTTACTCTTCCCATTGGGACGGTACAGCAGCCCGCGCTCAGCAGACTTTTCCTCTTGGTAGACACCAGGTGTGAGCACCAGGGGCTTCTTCCTCCCGACACAGCAAAGTAGCGAATCCGTCAGCTTAAGTGCAACAAGCACCCATAGCACAGGCCCCTCCTTAATGCATTTGCATTTTGCCACCTCCTGACAAGCGTCAAAGAATGAGACCCCAGCTGTCACTCCGCTCTTGTCTTGCAGCTCCATGATGAGCTCCTGCTGCTTGATAAACAGGTCGGCACTGTTCGATTTGGGCGCTGGTCTGTACAGTCTGTTGCTGTTTAGCCGTTGCATAGCAGCTGCAAGATTGCCCGGGTGCAAGTTTGCGGGGAGTGGAAGACTGATAGTCTCCTGTTTTGTCACTGCCGAGGTGATTTTTGGAAAGGTGTCGAGCGGACATCCCTGGTCCAGGACGACCGCAAGGGTCTCTGCTTGGGTTCCATGGAGCAGCGGCTTCATCACGTCGCCCCAACGCTGCCCTTGGCACATGCAGGCTTGCACAATAATTCGTTGCTCCACCATCCGCTCCAGAAGGTCTTCGGCACCACTGATTCCAGCAGCTTCGCCTCCCAGGAACAGCGGCACACGGCAATCTGAACTGTATTTTTCCCGCACAAACTTTTCAACCATCTTCATGTGAGAGATGTAGAAAGCATGTGGCAAACCTTTGATTGATGTTTCTGGCTTGCTGGTATAAATGTTCAAACGGCCCAGCAATAGGTCCAGCGAGTGTTCATCAGACCCGACTGGCAGGGTCATCTCACGGCGCTGCAGTTCGCTTCTGGTATTTTGATAAACCTTAATTTAGTAACGCTATTTCCTGTGAACATATTATATGCAAGTAATTAATTATACGAAGCATTGAACAATGGTCAGCAGGTACATAACAATGCCATGTGAGGATGAAGTATTGCACACATGTAACATGAAGCCGAAGCAGGCCTATGTACACTAGTTGTGCACTCATTGAACTCACTGCACAAATACGTACCAACAGGCAAGCGCACACACGCAAACATACAATAACATACACATACACGTATTCATACACACACACACACACACGCACACAGAGCCTTGCGTGTGCGTTTTCTTTACATGAGCGTGTAAATGCATGCATGCATGCATGCATGCATGTATGTATCTCTGCATGCATGTCTAGCATATTGCCTATATGTTTATGTACACATAAAGAGAGGGAGGGAAAGACCGAGCAATTGAGAGAGATCTATACATAGACACACAGAGACAAAGGGGTATCTAAAGAGCACAAAATTACGTCATAATATGGTTGCATGTAGGCATGTTGGATAGTAAGACACGGTACGTGATACCATGTGACGAGAAGTCTCAGGATGCCGGCGGCATACGGTTATTGGGAAACACGCAACCATCTGCATACCATTTGCGACTGCGTCAACTTGTCAAGTTCTGCTCTGGAGCGGGTCGAAACCGGTAAGGCCCAACTTCACGACAGATGCAGGCGATTTTCAGGCATCGCAAACACATTTTTTCTCTGGGTGGACAGAAAAACCCAAAACATGAGCAGGAAATGCAGTACTCGTACGAACAATTTGCGAACAAAGGTGGCTTGGTGGCATCGGGCTGGGGGAAGAGCACATCAATTTTGAAAATCTGTTTGGTCTAACGAGTGACAGCAGCTGTCGAGCCTCTGTTTGTGTGTCTGTACAGATAACTTTTCCAAACGTATGTGTGTAATTACATCTGTATGTTTGTCATGTATGTGTTTATGACGGATGGATGAATGAATGAATGGATGGATGGAGCGAAGGATGGACGAATGGATTGATGGATGTGCTTTTGCAGAAAGACTTGTGTATCCTAATGTTGGACATACCTGTGGCAAAAAATGGCCAGCGGCCCTCCGGCGAGTTGCAACAATTGAAGACTGGGGCCAGCGGCGGAATAGTCAAATCCAAAAGAGCGCGGAGCAGCAAATGCTGAAGATTGAAACATAAAAGATATATCGGGTATAACAAATGCTTCACCTGAACTTTCGCAGACCATCTTATAAAGCCTTTCAAGGTTTCGGGATTGGCAAAACAAAGCATGTAACGGGTGAATGCTCTAGGCCTTTAAAATGGTGCCGGCTGGCACGCCCCCAAATCCCGAAAAGTCGACTGCATGCCGATCACAGAACTCTGAGGACATGGAGTGGCCCTATGCTCGAATTGATGTAAAACTTTTGCTCTATTCTAAAACAGGACCCCTGTGATTTGAAGAAAACCTCAGCCTGGAATAGCCCACCCTAAACTCAGCGAGAAATGCCAAGACTACACATTCACTTACACGATACTAAACCCTGACAACGGCTGGAAGTTGCAACACCAAACCCATAGGGGGAAGGAAAACCTCAACAGCATCAAAGCGCTGGATATCGCAAAAGCTTCAAGTTTAATCATACCATATGAAGTACAGCTTTGCACGGCAAACCTTATCGCTCATGAGGGGCATGCGCAGTCAACGGTTGATACCGTGAGATTTTAGAACCCGTTAACACTCGCAAATAACGATCTTCACGGTTGGAGCATGCTGCGGGATCAACCTTAATTCGCGACTTCCTGCGGCCGACCACCCAAGCTAAACAGGATAGTAACACAATTCACACCAGGAGCATTGATTTCCAATCCATGAACAGCGCTCAGGTTTGGTGTACACTTGGACTGTAAGAAGTTTCGAGTGCAGTACGTCGTAGGTATGCACGTAACGACGTATGTATGTATGTATGTATGTATGTATAGGTACGAAACATAGTAAACTATATGCCGACAGATACATAAGTTTCCTTGTGGCAACGCGGCGGACCAAATTGTCAAGCTTGTTGTTGACGGCATCCTGCAGTCCATGCTACAGCCGAATTCCTGCTAAGTATGTTGTGTTGTTTCGGTATACTGCCGTGCTGGATGCAAGGCTAGAAAAACACATGCGCCGCAAAAAGCTAAACAGGACTGACCCTTTGATGTTCCTCTGATTTGCAAGCGGCTTGTTTGGTGTTGTTGGCCGAGCAAGTACATATCACCTGTATGCCAACACCACATATTTGGCAAAGTACAATGTTACGAGCAATGTCGAAGTTTTCTATTGTATTGTTGGCTCTTAATTATTTGCCTGCAAGTATATTACAAATCCATTTCATCTTCACCAAACCCCTTATAAGGTGGGAGACTCCCAGAAGTTCTACACGCCCAAACAGTGCTTTGGGTGGTTTTGAATGACCTTGGCGGGCTTTGGCAGGCTCCAGGAGACCCGGGCCCAGGTCTTTCCGCGAATGTCGGCCCCAGGGGCCTACATGGCTATGTCGGCCCCTGGGGCCGACATTGGCATGTAGGCAAATAGGGCCGACGCGGAGCGCCGGGGTAACAGGGATAGGTTGTATCTATTTGAAATGATGTTGCTTGCAAAACCGACTTTAAAAAAGAAATGGACTTTTAAACACCTGTATGCATCGAAGCGAACCGACCCTAATTTCGCGGGGAGCTCCCCTAGGTATCTAAATCTGATGCTGCGGTCTGAACCCATAGCTAAATAACCCAAGTAACCACGCAAGGAGGGGGGATCTTCCGGGCTCAGCTTGACTGCGGACTCGTGTGCTGCTCCCCTGTGCACTCAAGCACGACTAAGAGCCCTTGGTGAAACTGCTTCTGACCAGCTGGCATCTGTTGCTGGTCCTGTACCCGTTGCATGCACCGCTTGACTTGAAAACTTGAACGGCGTAGCCTGCTCAAGAAATGTGAGCGTCGAACTGCTGACTGCTAATCCTGGAATTCAAGCAAAGCCGCAGCGCAAAAAAAAGCGTCGGTGAATGCTGCTGCTACCTCAGCCGAGAAGCTCACACGACGGGGAGGATGCAAGTTCACAGCGCTCAAACTCCAGCGCTGCTGAGGCACACGCATGCAGCTTACATTTGTGGCAGCGTGAACCCGTAGCAATCTTCCCTGCGAGCGGGGCGACGGCAAAAACCCTAAGCTGAACAGGAATCGAGACCAAGCGCTTGGCTTAGATTTGCCACGATTGACTTCAGTGTCTTCGCCTTCCTTCACCCAGTGCCCATCCTGCAAAGTCCAGCTGAGACGCGGCACAGGGAGGGAGGGTGGGAGAGCGGGTTTGACGTGAATTGCTCTCCTTCTGGCTGTAGATGTCAATTTCATCTGCGTCGCACATGACTCGGTTTGGCTTCTCCGCTTTGATTGCCTGATTTCATGGGTTGCAAGAGGTGCAAAGAACAACTCCGAAGACAGGCCGAGCTAAATCCACGCGCAAGTTCCAAGCACAGGGCCTTCTTGAGGTCATCCACCTGACATCGCTCACCAAAAGCGTGGAGAACCACTCATAAACTCATAACGCAGAACCGCACTCAGAAACTCGCGAGGACAGCTGCAGAACCCTTCAGAAAGTGGCGCAGCTGAGATCGCCGCATCTGCAATGGCCCCTGTGACTTTAAAGGCATTGCCGGCGACCTCAATCGTAGACCCTTCCTCGCAGAGCAAACGCGCTACCAGTTCATGCCAATTGCATCCATTCAACCTATGCCCGGCGAAGCTGAGACATGCTGGACACAAGAAGTGCAACAAACCCTGCAAATCTTATGTGAGCTGTTTTTCCTGCAAGTCGAAGGTCAATGCTGCAAACATGAACTGACAGCAAACTTGCAGATCAACGATTCCTTGCGCTCAGAGTCCGTGCGGGTCAGCCCCTGCACCCAGACGCTGGTGCCTGTCTTCCATTCTTCGCATGTGCAGTCGGAACAGAATATAACGGGAACGAACGCTCTCCTGAAGATATAGCCCTCAGTTTCATGTGTGTGTGCGCACTCTGGCACTGCTCAACCAGAAATGTCTCTTCTGACGTGCCTTGAGCATGACCCCGGGTGGCAGAAGACTCACGCAGCCTCAAATGTTGTCGTGTCAGCAAAGACTGACTGCTCTTCCTGCTGTCGAACAAACCTTACCGCTGCCTCTGCTTCAAGTCTTCGATTTGCCTGCAGCTGTTGAACACCGAGGCGCGAAACGCAAAACACACAGCCTCACATGTTGTCATCGCAGCAAAGGCTGCCTCAGGTGCTCCAACGAGGTTGGGAAGGACAGCAGCTGCTTTCTGTTGTACCAGAATACGTGGATGCGCTGCCTATGCTTTGCCAGCTTGGCACCATCAAAGCCATTGAAAAAGTACAAAGACTGTCCGCTGGGAAACTTGCATGTTTGCGCTTCCACCAGCCATTTCCATATACAGCTTTCGGGTTTGTGTTGCTGCCAAGGCTGGGCAGTTACTTCTATCAACGCACCATTCTTGCAAAGAGTCTGGATCTCTGTCCAAGCAACTGCCGGGGGGTCCCCGATCCGAGCAAGTTGGATGGGGATCTCCATAGCTTCACAACCTTCCTTTGGCCCGGAAACGACGAAGTCGACTTCGAATGCTTTCATTTCATTTGACCAAGGCTTCACGCCCATGATCGCACTGGCACGTCTTTTCCTGTCGCTCGTCGACTGCGCAACCTTCAGCAACTTCTGCATGTAGTCGGTGTCGTGTAATTTTGTGCCGCAGTCCATGTCAGGATTTGTGCGAAGATCTTCGAAAAGCTTCTGACGCTGCTTGAGCTTGTGGTCGAACTCGTCCGTTATCTGCCATGAACCTTCCGTCTGTTTGAAGACCTGGTTTTGTTTGAATGCCAACCCAAGCTGCTCCAAGACCAAGCTGAAACTTTGTTCAACCTCCTGACCCAAGACACCGCTTGCCACGGAAATCTGTTCAATCTGTAGTATTTTTTGGACTTCGTCACCTTCTTCGAATTCCCCATGACTCAGGCGCGTCGCCGTTGATCCAGGTCCTGCTGGCGCCGCGGGCGGCACAGTGGGCAAAGTCCAGGGCAACTGGTGCTGCACAGGGCCCTGCACAAAGTGGTAGCTACCGCTAATGTACATTGCTTGGCTGGCATTTGGAGCGGCGGGTCGCCTCACCACAGCAGGGATTGCTGGTGGACCTGTTTGGCCAGCCACTCGAGCAAGATTTGGCCAGGCAGGAGTGTAAAACGACTGGGGCATGGCTGGCCGGTTGCCGCTAGTCATTTTTCAATCGTGCTGACATGCGTTCAGTCGCTAGTTAATTGGCTACAAGGATGAAAGCTCTTGAAAGCTCTTCGCACAAAAGATCTACGAAAACAGCAGCTCGGGGCAAGCTGAGACTGCGGCTGCTCTCATTTTGACCTTATTACCTTGCTAACCCACATGTCTTGAGCAGTCCGGAAACATTCGCAACCTCAAGCTTAAGAAACTTTGCAAGCATGCGCCAACCCAAGGCGCACGATTCACGTGGTCCATCCATCAGCACAAGTGATGTGCGGCCCAAAATCAAGGCAGACACAACCACAATTTAACACAAATGATGCTCACATGAAGTGCGAAGTCTGCAAGCCTTTACTTGTGACTAGTGCCCGTCGATCCGCAAGAAAATATCCCCGCCAGCGAACAGCAAAACGAGCGGCAGGGCGCAAGTTGTCGTGCATCGTCCTCAGTGTCAGCGACGTTGGTAATGCTCCACATGACCTGGCGGGGGGGAGGGTTTGTGGTGCTGTTGCTATTCTATTGTTGTTGTGGTTGTGGTTGTGGCTGTGGCTGCGATTGTGGTTGTGGTTGTGCTGCTCTGCTGCGCTCCTGGCTCCTGCTCCTGCTGCTCCTGCTGCTCCTGCTGCTGCTGCGGCTGCGGCTGCCATGTTTTATCATTGCGAGCTTCTTGCAGAAGATAGCTGCGCGCGTGTGCTTGGCATCCGCGGTGCGCACGGCGTGTGCATGCGTGCGTGGCGTGCGACGTGCGTGGCGCGTGTGCACGGAATGCGTGAACACTTCTGCTGCGTTTGCAGTCATTCTTAAGTCTCGAGTCATTGTAGTCAGTGTTGAGTCATTGTTCAGTCATTGTTGAGTCATTGTTGAGTCATTGTTGAGTCATTTTGAGTCAGTTTGATTCATTGTTGAATCATGTTGAGTCAAGACAATATTACGCGATTCACGAAATGACGGTTTTGCGTTGTTCTTTGAGCGAAGATGCACTTTGCTGCGAAAGAACGCCATTCTTCGCGAAATATTGCTCTGTAAGCGAAGATGCACTTGCTGCGAAAACGCGATTCTTTCGCGAAATATCCCAGTTGTTTCACGTTGCTCTTTGAGCGAAGATGCACCTTGCTGCGACAATCTTAGATGCCGTGTTGGGACTGGGCAGTTACAGGAGACCATCATGGAAACCCAACCCCTTCGACTGAAGCACTTGCACATGAACATGAAGGCTCCATCGAAGTCGTCGTCCTTGCGAAGCTGACAGGCCCAAATGACTGTCGGTTGCGCTGGGGCGGCAGTTGTGCTGAAAATTGGGCTCGCATCCGTGCGTGGTCGGCTCGCAAAACGGCTGGTTGCCGGGGGTTGTCGGGGCACGATCCCGGCGGGCGGGCCCAAAATCCAAAAAAATTGGGGTGCGGCATGGTGTTTTAGGGCCATGTGCGCTTGGGGTGTGAAATCTCGGCAATGTCGCTCCTTCAACACAGGCGGGACCTGCGTTGTGCCCTGTGTTGAAACTGAGTGTTGTGTTAAGAAAAAAGCATGGAGCTGGCGTGCCGGGACGCCACGGAGGAGCCCACCGAAGGCAATCTCGTGCGGCTGTTGGATCTGTGGTCGGCGGATTGGACACACCGAGGCCGCACCCGGGCTGTGGGACCCGGAGCTTACGAGAGATACGCCACACTGGGGCTGTTCGCGCACGGTGGGGTGGTCGGTGTCTTCCGTGCCACGGGCCTGCGGGAGGCCTGCGCAGCCGTGAATTGCTTTCTCAAAAGCCGCTTTCCGAAGGGCACCTGGACCTCGGTCGCGGTGCTTTTCAATCCCCGCATGGGCCTGCACCGTGACATTCAGAACATGCCCGGGCACTTGAATCATGCGCTTGCTCTGGGAGAGTACACGGGGGGGCGTGTGTGGATCGAAGACGACGAAGGGGACTCCACGGCCTGGCTGGCCGACAAGAAGGGCGGACGAGAGCTGCGGGGCAGGTGGCTCGACATGCACGACAAGCCCGTCAGCTTCGATGCCCGCCGCTATCACATGGTGGAGCCGCACGAGGGCAGCATGTGGGCTCGCAGCCTATGTCCCGCAGGCCTTCGTTCGGGCGACGGAGCAGCATCGACAGGCACTGCGAGTAGCTGGATTTCCGTTGCCGCAGTTAACGATTCCGTCGTTCGCTTCCTAAAAAAGGGGGGTTTGTGAAGTTAGGGACGGAATCCTCCACTTTGGGTAGTGTACGATTTCGTCATTAATTACTTATTTATTTTTTATTTTCGAGCCAGGTCATTTTTGTCATTCCTGTCATTGTGCCGATGTCCTCGAGTGTATATCGTGCTGACGTCTTGGAATTAATTATTTAATTATATTGTATTTTCGGGCCAGCCTGGAGCTTGTCATTTTTGTCATTCCTGTCATTGCGCCGATGTCCTCGAGTGTATATCGTGCTGACGTCTTGGAATTACTTATTTGTTTATTTCTCATTTTCCAAACAAAAATGTTTCAAATGTCGAAACACATCTCAAGCCCATAAACACTGGATCACCTGTCACTGTAAAGCTTGCTCATTCATGTCCCATGCACAGAACAGAAACTGAACACGCACAGACTGAACCAACATGTGCCCTCACATGCTATCACGACTGAAGTTCAAGCACCGGTTCCTTTTTCCAAGGAAGGGGATTTGTCAGAGCTGCTGCCATCCAGGTCCTTCCTTTGCAGGTGTGTGAGAGACGAAATCTCCCCCCCGCGCTCAGTCTTCTGCCTAAGTCAACGTCCTGTCAATCGTTGAGTTTGAAACGGAACACATTGCCACCGGTGAGCATTGGCAACTGGCTGAGGGCCATGCTATAGGGTATATGGTTGCCTTGCTGCTCCAAATGAAAGCTTGACGTACGCAAGTGAAGCCCAGCAAGGTTCCACAAAGCAGTAGTTACCGCCACCTGGATGTCATCGACGGTTCCTGTCGATGCAACCCGACAAAACACAATCTCGATTTGCGGGACATTGGTGACCTTTGCCACAAGCCATCGTACCTCAGGCTCAGGGCCTCTGTTCTCATCGAGGCCCGCCGTCTCAGCGTCCCTTTTCATATTCAGGTGGAAACTGAAGCTGGTGTAGCGAAGTGCCCCAAACAGGTGTGGGCGGGCGGGAAGAAAAATTCTTTTCCAGACCCTCTCCCCGAGGGCTGTGACTGAGAGGGTTGTGTCCTCTCCTTGTCTGAGCCGAAAAAACTTTCTCATTCGGAGAATTCGAAAATTTTTCTCCGGAAAATAAAGGATTGTACTTGCAGCACGATCGCCTTATTTTCCAAACAAAAATGTTTCGAATATCGAAACACATCTCAAGCCCATAAACACTGGATCACCTGTCACTGTAAAGCTTGCTCATTCATGTCCCATGCACAGAACAGAAACTGAACACGCACAGACTGAACCAACATGTGCCCTCACATGCTACCACGACTGAAGTTCAAGCACCGGTTCCTTTTTCCAAGGAAGGGGATTTGTCAGAGCTGCTGCCATCCAGGTCCTTCCTTTGCAGGTGTGTGAGAGACGAAATCTCCCTCTCTTGGTCGGGGAGCATGTAATTCCCTTCCTTGGTCTCAGGAGTGTCAGGCACAGCGCCCAACTAAGGAGTTCACCAGCTTGGTCATTTCCTGGAGAAGCACCTTATCTGCGAACCTGCAGTTCTCTGGCAGCCCCGTGAAGTCGAGGCGCGATGGAGCATCCGCAACATTAGATTTGCTGGGTACCCGTGCATAAAACGGAATCATTTCGAGCTCCTGTTCCAACAGTGCACAGGCATTACTCAGGAGGGTCAGGGCCGCGGAATCGCTAGTCAATTTGAGCAGCGTTATCCGCGCCGCCTCATTGTCCAGATAGCACATGACGTGTCTTCCCCGCATGAATTCGCGGGCCAGAATAAAAAGCAAAAGCACAGCAATGCTCTCGAGTTCGTTGATGACCTTGGACTTGCCTTGCAAAAACTTTTCGGCAAGTTCGTGTGGCAAGACAACCCCAAACCAGCACAGGATCTTTCCGTCCTGATTAAACAGGACGGCTCCCAGACCCATGTTGAGGCCCTGGCATCCTTCTTGAGAGGCATCAGTGAAGGCATACACTGTCTCCGAGGTCAGGGCTCTGACCGTTCGTGGCGTCGCTTCAGCGATGTAATGGCGCAGCCCCAGAAGCGCTGCACACAGCGTGTCCTGGCTCTTCTTCCTGACATGCACGGGGGCATTGATGATGTCAGAAATCTTCCTCATGAAGCCCTTGGGCAGCCGGCCGGAGAGCTGACCGGCCACGAAATGTAACATTCCTCGCAATCGATTCCATGCCTTCGGGCTCGAGGCTCCTTGCTGCTGAAAAACCGCTAGATCATCAATGAGGCTGCTGGTCCTTTCGGCCGTGTTTTGGATCCTGAAAAACTGCTTGTCGCTTTCCGTAAGGTCGAACTCGACTCCCAAAGATCGGAAGACCTGTTGAAACGGCTGGGCCTTGTCTCCATCCCTATCGAACTCAAACCCAAGCAAGTCCAGCAGAAAACATGCGCTAGCTTCAGCGCTCGAAGCCAGCCGTCGTGTCGAGACCAGCATAAAGTCGTCATAAAAGGAGCTCCAAGGCAAGTGCCAGAACGTGTTCCCTAAATGACAGATGGCCAGACTGACCCTGATGAAAGCATGAACCGCCGCCACGGCGCCGAACGGTAAACAAAGCAGTCTGAAGAAACGAACCTCCCCCGAATTGGCGTCCTTGACATAGGCCATGTTGAGTGCCTTTGTAGACAATGGAAGCTGTCTATAGGCTGACTTTAAGTCAATGGTTTTTCCAAGCAGCCCTTGTCCTGCGTGTCTAAGAAACAGGATGGTCGAGGCTGCAATGGTTTCCACATCATGCAGCTCTATCTTTCCCATGCTCCCGAACGCCTCGTTGATGTGGCTTTTGACTCGCAGTATCCTGTGCAACTTGTGTCGAGCAGACGCGTGAAGCTGTAAGGACACCTAGCGTAGGCCACCAAGCTCAGTA